CAAACAAACATACAAAGATAGAGCGGATGAAAATCGGAGTCATAGGCTGGATTAGAAGGATTGGAGTATAATTTAGTCATATATTGAAGAGACATTTTAATACGGCGTTGTTTCGAAGAAGGTTCATCAGCTTTGACATAGGGGTTGTCAACAGGAGATGTTCTAAAAGCACCAAGGCATAGTTTTAGTTATTGATATTGGATTGAATCTAGCTTTGTAAAATTACTCTTGCAAGCTCCTGCATACACAATGCCCTTGTCCAATTTAGAACGGATTATTGATCTATATAGGTGAAGGAGAGTTGTCTGATACCCTCTCCTCTTTGAATTTTAGACGACTTTCAACAAATCTAGGGCCTTCAGGCATTTTGTCTTGAGATATTTAAAATGTGGCAAAAACGTCAAATGGTGGTCGATAGTTAAGCCCCAAAATTGTGTTTCCTTTTTAATCTTAATTGGTGTGCCATCTAAAAATAGTTCAGGGTCTTTACGGGTTTTATATTTGCAACAGAAATGTATACAATTGGTCTTGTTCTGTGAAAACTTAAGGCCACTCTTAAGACAACATATATTAAGACACAACTGTAATTGTCTGTCAAGGATGTGTATATTTTCACCTCGACATGAAATATACTGAACCAAATGAAAAACTTCACAATCCTAAAAATTTAACATTTTGACCAGTTATCATTGTGGGTCCTTATTGTGTATTTAAACAGTAATGGCCACGTATTGTCTTCAGATAACACCCGTTTTTGTGCAGGTGAATCGATCAAAATCATGTGCACAGCACTATAGTGGATAAAGTGGTTTTTCACGTGCAACTGGTCACGTGGCCATAAAACCGCACGTGTTTTCAGCCATACTTGTTAGCAGTCATTAACAAACAAACAAAAACACGAGAAAACAAAAGTCTTTACGTCCATTTGTCATGCCACGCCTTTCAAATGTGCAACGTGAACGTGCCATCGGCATGTTGCAGACGGGAACGTCCGTAGCTGAAGTGGCAAGGACGATGGGTTGTAGTCGACGGACTGTTTATGATTTACAGACGCGTCTACAGCAAACGGGTACCACCGCTGATCGCCCTCGGCCAGGTCGACCACGTGTGACGTCACATGCAGAGGATCGTCAGATTGTCTTACGTCACCTCCGACACCGATTTGTGTCAGCTACATCAACCAGAAATGAACTGTTTAGGGGTAGACTGAGTGCGCAAACTGTTCGAAACCGTCTGAGAACTGCTCACCTTCAAGCACGACGGCCATGCTGCGGGCCGATTCTGACTCATTTACACAGACGTCAACGTCAATTGTGGGCACAGCGACACTTACGATGGACTCAGAGGAATTGGAATCAAGTCGTCTTCAGTGATCAATCCCGATTTAATCTTCGATTTGCTGATGGTAGGGCGAGGGTGTAGAGGCACCGTCATGAACGTTAGGCCCAGTGTTGTGTACAGGAAGTTGACAGATTTCCAAGCGGAAGTGTCATGGTGTGGGGTGCTTTCTGTGGCAATGCACGTTCCAGGCTCCTTGTCATCCGTGGCAACCTCAACGCTGCTGCTTACCGCGACCAGGTACTGGCACCAGAACTTCTGCCTTTTATGGCAGCACATGGACCCGGTTTGATCTTTCAATACGACAATGCCAGACCCCACACAGCAATTTTGACAAGGATTTTTCTTCAGAATGCGGGAGTCAACGTCTTGGACTGGCCGTCAAGGTCTCCCGACCTCAATCCCATCGAACACGTCTGGGATGCTCTTGGCAGAAGTCTGCGCACTCTCCAGAACCAACCACAGAATTTGCAAGATCTTGGCACCATTTTGCAGCAACAATGGCGTCGTCTTCCCAATCATGTGTTCACAAGCATCACCAGTTCCATGCGGATGCGTTGTGTGGCAGTTGTCAACGCACATGGTGACCATACACGCTACTGAACTTGTCTGCCATCAGATTCTCGTGCTTGGGACTTATGATTTAAACTGTTGATGTTATTACCGAATACCGTAGGTGCTTGGAACAAATTATGGTTACCACCGTTAATTAAAATCCTTCTATGGACATTAATGAGTAAAAATTACCTTCTCTGATACATTTGTCCGTTGTATATCATATATGGGATTACTTTTAAAAATGTGAAGTTTTTAATTTGACTCAGTATATTAAAATAACCCACAAACAATGACCTTTTAGCTTTTTATTCAGGATATTCCCCTTCTCGACTGACACAGGGGCGCAACCCACGACAAACGGGTTGCCCAATTCGGTCGCTTTTTTTCAACCACCAATTGGGGTGCTGAGGACACATTCTATTCTACCCCGGGTCCCCATTGGCGCGGTTTTCAAGATCTGCTCTGGAAATAACATCTTCTACTGACGCACGGACGGACGAACGGTGTCCATTGTAATACCACCCGCTAAACGCGTGGCGGTGGATAACAAAGATACCAGCTCTCTTATGTTGTTATACCTTTCGGCCATACAATTGTGATTTGCTAACGTTTCATCATGTTTTAGAACATAATTGAGAGAATGGGATACATAATCTAAAACAGCATTTTTTGCAAAAGTGTAATTAATATCATGTATTGTTAGTAATATTCATTATTTTGTCATTGTAACAATATCACAAATATGTATTAAGTTATGGTGACAAACGTGTACCGCCTGCGTGGTGTAGTGAAGACAACGCTTGTTCGAAAAATGCAAAACATCAGGGCCGGATAATAATCAGTCTCGATTGCCGAAACATATTTCATTGGGCGTAAAAAACCAAGTGAATTCAAGTATACGAATGGATCACTAGAGTGATTAATTGAGATTGGACTGAGATTGGTAGTGGCTGTGCCATCAATGGGGGTTGAAGCAGTGTGAACAAGTGTCTCTTTGGGAGGGTTTTGCATGACCATGCATGTTTATATTTACCACGTTTTAGAATATTTGCTCATTCCAATTTTCAACTGAAGGGATGGTGTAACAGAAGTTCGTGTGATCCCTAGTGTGGTGGCCTCACATTTGCAAACGCCTGGTATCATCACTGCTATTCAGTGATCCGTTCATATCATTTCCACCGCTGTTTTGCCTTTTGCTTCACAATGGAGTCTGATTATTGTCTGGCGTTTTGTGTTTGGTTGCTGGTGATCTAGTTTGTACCGTCAAATAATAGTCATAACTGCTCCATATTCGAGTTTTACATAATATCTGCGATAATCTAGTGAGTACACTGTTCATCGTTGAAAAGGGTTTAGACATTGTTAGTGTACGATTTCTGCTAGTCACTGTACGGCTGGAACAGGTAAAAGTTACAGTCACTCACTCAATTTGTATGAATCAGGTGTACATTAGTATGAATCAGGTGTACAAATGGGTTAAAAGTAGTTTGGTGACATTCATAAATTGTAGTATATAAACTATACAATAACGGTAGGAGTTATTTTATTACCACAGTGCTCAGGTTTGTTGAACTTTGCATATCGCCTTTCTGCTAAATCTTCAGGGATATACATACCCTGAAACTATCACTGCATGAGTGTTGTTTCAATGGGCAAGGCCTTTAGTATGTTTGAAACAGGCTACTTCATTTTCCCATGCAGCAATGTTTTACCCACATTACTACCCACATTTAACTATCACCATAAATAGTTTAATTACCTTTCATGTAGGATGTTTGCGTTGTATTAGCATGATTGCATTGTTTTGAATGGAGTACACAATTAAATTTTAATTAAAGTAACTATTAATCACAATATCAAATATGTCAGTGGTATATTTAGCTACCCTGGTTTGGCAGAGTCACATAGACGTACAAAGTATATGTCATCCTCGAGTAAAACTTCTCACCCCTAAAGCGGTAACATTTTTATGTAAGATACGTACTTACTCTTGTTTACGTTATCATCAAACATGATTAGCTGATAAGCTGCATTTAACAAATGTTCAATGTTATTCTTGATAAGTACCTGGCTAGAAGCAAAATTAATTAAAATATCATGTTTATCCTTCCAGATCTGTGCACGATACAATTAATTGCATCACTGATTTTTATGAATGTTTTTAGTTAAACCAGTGATTTGGTTAGTTATATGGTGTACAAAGGACGAACGCTGCCTTTTCAATAATGTGCTTTTGAGACCCATGGGGATTCTGGATTTAGCATAGGTCCTCAGGAACCATTGCTGGTCGTAGGGAGGCGACTTAATGGATCGGCTTACATGGTCACACTCGGTGACTTTGTTTCCGCTAGCCAATGTACCCCAGTGGCTTGGATCATTGCCCACAATATTATTCTCAGGATCGTGTGGTCCAGATTCGCTTATTAACAGGTCATACAGCTGAGTGCTGTTTTAAACATCAAGCTATTTGCACATGTATGCAGTGATGTAGATGGCTTATTGCCTTGAACAGGTATGTGTATGTATTGAGTACATGAATGAAAGCGAAAAAAAACCACATTCCATGATGTGAAGAAGTGCAGGACTCATTGTGCGGCTAAGAGTACAGAAAAATATGTTTCGGCATCTGAAGATGTTCAGATTGTGACAAAATGTATCCTGTGTATCTCAAGGGAGTAACTTTTGCTAAATTACGACAAATTAACTGTCTGAAACTGACTTCTTTAATGCAAAAGGTACAGATTGCTACTGACAGCCATTCAGATAGACGTCGAGGTACTGCAACAAGGTCACCTTAGCTGTGAAAATGAGTTTCCGGCGGTTAAAGTGCCAGATAACCATCTCAGAATCCTCTGGTTTCAGTGCTGCAAAATACATCATCTGCAAGGGAAAAAACAACCATAATCAATATTTCTTTAGAAACGACGAAGTGTTTAAAATGTGTTTTTGTTAATATGGCCTGAATTAATTGTAAGTTAATGTGATCATTCAAAAGGCACAACTTAAATACCAGACACGAATTGGAAAGTGAGCTATTGATAATTTTACTTTGGTTCATTGAAGTTGGTGAGTGGGTGTTTTTTTATGCAATCTTCCATTTTCAGCCAATTCCGGATGGAAGGTAATCGAGCTTGGACCAGGCAATCAGTGACAAAACGCTGAACCAACGACCAAGACACAAAGCAAGCAGAGCCTTATCGAGAGACAGTAATGGTAGTTTTTACCTGAATAGGAAACTCTCCGAGAACTCTGTACATGAGATTTTGGTGATTGTCCAGTCTGAACGTTAGGCCGCTCTCCAGATTGTCTCGGATTTCCTCTTTGTATTCTTCACTGCTTAGACCTGAATATTACACGTTAACATCATGACACAGGTATCATTGGTTGTTTCTAAATCACTAAAATGTATAAAGAGACTCTCTATATATTTTGTTGGTTGTTTTACGCCGCAATCAGCAATATTCCAGCCATATGACGGCGGTCTGTAAATAATCGAGAATGGACCAGTGATTGATTGCATGGATCATCGATCCAGACAGTGGGTGAGTGAGTGAGTTGGGTTTAACAGCGCTTTTAACAGTATTCCAGTTATATCACGGCGTGTCATCTTAATGTGGGAGGAAAGCCCGAAGTGGTGCAGGTCTCAGACGTTTACCACTGCGGTGAAACCCACGAGCATGGGTATATGCTGCTGACAAACCTAGAAAAATAATCGTGACGAACCAGGATTCGAGCCCACGATCATAAGTTTCTGGCGTGCTCAAGGGATGAAACTGCACAGCGAACCGCAGCGCCTGGGATATGATGGCAGCGAGCTTGACCACGCTTTCCAGTTAGTTGTCTCTTACGCATGGGTTGCTGAAAATCAATTCTAACCCGAATCTACACGGGCACAGACGCCTTTTAAAAGAATTACACCATAACACCATTGGTCCTGTATACCTAGAACCTGATTTGTATATTTGAAGTACAACACTGCAACCGTATACAGTCAAACTGATGATAGGTTTTACCGTCCATTCTGAATATGGCATCCCAATAGTAAATGTAGTCTCCAGTCAGATTTGTCGGAGATGGGGCACTTGCAATGAGGCTTTTGTTCACCCCCAGATCCTCTGCTAGTTTTTGGCCCAGGAAAAGAGACGTCACAGTGATGTCCAGATTAGCTGCGAACAACTGCTCTTCGAGAGGACGAATATCGCACAGAGAAGCAATATTCAGGACTGGAAAGTAATTATAAAGACATAATAATTGAGACAGATATAGTCATTTTGACCCTGAGACGTGTAACCATAACTTGGTAGCATTTTTCAAAATAATCTTGAACAGACAAAAGAGAAACTATGTTTAACTTACCCACTCATGTCGATAATTTCTTTTGTATCTTTCCTTCATTAATTAATTACTTCGTTTACCATCCCTTTGTGTTATTTCACACCACAGTAAATATATCACTAAGTTCATGCAACCATGAACTTTAATACAATAAAACTGAAAAACCCCGACACCTATTGGTAGAAATGTTGTACTGAAGGCACTGTTGTTACCCAAACTTAATCACCTGTTTTGCAGTATACGAAGCTCATCCAAAATTGTAATAGAAAAATTCAGTCAAAATGTTTTCATTTCATCTGGAGACCTAAACCTGACAAAGTTAAAGATAAATTATGTCATTTCATCTTAAATATGGCGGCATCAGTGTCCCAGTGCTGGAAGTGGTTATCGCTGCACAAACATTAAGCTGGATTAAGAGACTGGTTCATGGTAATTCCACGTGGACAGCTTTCTTTTTTTTAAATGTAGCTATTGCAAATGTAATTAACATGGCTGATGCTGCCTATATTAACGAAAATATTATTCCAAACATTAACAATATTAACTTTTGGAAAGAGGTTTTGTTATGGTGGTCAGTATACTTGAATTGCTGTGATAATGTTAAACGATCTGGTGAGGGTATGATGAGCAAATCTGTCTGGTATTATAATGAAATCAAAATTGCTGGTAAGTCTATTTATTTCCCAAAATGGCTTTAAAAGGGTATAGCATATATATATGACTTCATTCATGACACAGGGAAATTATATAATTCTGACGAACATGTGCAAAAATACAGTTTGAAGACAGACTTTTTGACCTATCAATGAGGAAAACTGCCAGTAGTCCGGTATAAGAATATAAAACTTTGTGCTAAAGTTTGCCAAAGACCTGTACTTCCTTATAATGTATCAACATTAAACAAGAAAAAGTGAAGCAAGGTATTTTATGAAGCCCTGTTAAACCGTAAATTTATAAAACATAAGTGTAACAGTAAATGGGAAGATGTTCTTGTGAAAAAACAGTATACAGATACAGAGTGGACAAACTTTAACCTGGCAAAAAGATGTACACAAAGTTCTGATTTAAGATGGTTTCAGTTCAAAGTTATGCCTAATTTTTTAAGTACTAACGGTTATTTTTATTTAAAATTGGCTATGTTGAATCGCCAGTTTGTTCATTATGTAATTGTCACTATGCTGCTGATATATGGACGACACTCTCAGATTGGCTTGGAAACTATACAGAAGGCAGAGTTAATTTTAGTAATGAACACATACTGTTTGGATTTAAAGAGAATAATAATAATTCACCCAATGCAGTAATTATGGAAACAAAATCTGTGCTGTTTACATTTAATAGAAAAAAGTCAAACCAAACTTATTCAAAAAGAAATACTTCGATATTATGAAATAACAAAATATATTGCATATTCAAATTGTAATTATTGAAATGATTGTAATGTAGCTATTGTTGAGGTGGACATTTATAATACCAATGCAATGTATCTGAACACAACACCAATGCAAATGAGCTAAGCACACGCTCAACGATGCCCCCGAGAAAGTATCTCAATGAACAGGCAAAATGGCGAATTGTGGGAAGGATAGAGGGAGGGGGATTATTTCACACGACAGTAAATATATCATTAAGTTCATACTACCATGAACTTTAATACAATAAAATTGAAAACGATACCGATACAATATTTAACTGTGAGCTGTGAGCGGTGCACCTTATAAAAAAATGTCTTTCAATAATTGTGCAAGTTATTTTGTGACATTTAAAAAAAGGTTTAAACACTTGGTACTAGAACCCAGTCTATGAATTATTTCATGATGTAGATTGATTCGCTTTGCTTCGTATCGAATGTTTAATAAACAGCCGGTTCTTTTATGACGGTGCAATGGTAGATCTAGTCGTATTTCTTTTATTGGATCGGTGTACAATTTCCCACAGCGGCCGCAAATTTGAGGCACGAAAACTTTCTATTATTTCACGTCGGAATGGAGATAAAAATATTAAAATACGGACAGCCCCATATATACACATGCACAAAGCGCTACCCTATTCATAGTCTCTTGATTTCACATATGGGAATCAGAAATACGAAATATGATGATGTATGACTGAATTAGGCTTCCATAGTTTCATGAACCCAAATTTGTCCAGATACCTCAAGGAAAGCGTGCTTTACGTGTTGCTGCAGTTCCCCTACCCTATAAATAGTGAAATTCAAGTTTCAGAAACGTGGTTGCATTTCGCTCCTGTGTGAAATTCCCCTTCCAATAGAGGTTGAAAATCAGCCATGGTGAGGAGAAAGTTAACGAACGCTGAAAGATGGCAAGTGATAGGCATGAAAAATGCTGGCATGTCATGCAGGGCCATTACAAGAGAAATGGGTCGTCGTCACAGTGTTATCACTCGTTTGATTGCCAAACATGGTCAAACCAATGATGTCAATGACAGGCATAGGTCTGGAACGCTGAAAGATGGCAAGTGATAGGCATGAAAAATGCTGGCATGTCATGCAGGGCCATTGCAAGACAAATGGGTCGTCATCACAGTGTTAACACTCGTTTGATTGCCAAACATGGTCACACCAATGATGTCAATGACAGGCATAGGTCTGGTAGGCCAAGAAAGACCTCTAACAGAGAGGATAGACGTCTTTTCAGGATAGTCAGACGAAATCCATTTGCCACTTGAACAGATTTAAGACTGCAGTGGATTACCCATCAGAGACTCAGAGCGGCTGGTTATAACGCCAGAAGACCAGTAAAACGTCCTCAACTGACTGAGAGGCACATGCGGAATCGTCTGATATGGTGACGTGCCCGTAGTCGATGGAACTTGGCCAACTGGAGAAGGATCCATTGGTCTGACGAGTGTCGAATGCTGCTATGAACTGTTGATGGTCGAATACGTGTTTGGAGGCAACGTAACACTCGTTTTGCACCAAGGAACATCCAGAAGACCTTAGCATGTGGCAGGGGTTCCGTCGTGATATGGGGTTGTGTTTCCTTCGGCTGCAAACTTCCGCTGGTGACAATTTGTTTGAAACCTGAATGGCCAACGATACCAAGATGCCATTCTTCGTCCAGTGGTAGTCCCTCGTTTTGACAACCATCCTCTTCAGACAAGACCTGTTTACATGGATGACATTACTAGACCACACAGATCTCGGGCAGTTTTGGCTTATTTGCGTCAAGAAGCTATTGCCACTCTTCCTTGGCCGGCCTGTAGTCCGGATCGTAATCCGATTGAGCATCTCTGGGACATTCTTGGCCGGAAAATCAGACATCGTGATCCGCCAGTTCAAAATCTCGCTGGGCTTGAAGCCGCACTTCATGAAGAATGGATCCGTTTGCCTCAGAGAAGCATTGAACGACTTGTAATGAGTATGAGGCGTAGGGTTGAAGCTGTGGTCAATGTCCGTGGATCATACACACGTTACTGACGTTTCTGTCTTGCAATAGACCCTGCACTCCCTAGGGTGTCTATGTGACACCTGATATGGTCTAATGATATCATAACAGTAACATGACAAAGACGTTTTTCAATCATTTCTAATCCTTCAATTTCTGGTCTTCGGTAAAAATCCTTTCTGCTCATATTCTTTGGGAACACAAGATAAATTTGCTTTGGGACAACTTTTGCATCACATGAGGTTTACATATACGGCTTACAACAATCATACATAATAGTTATAATAGTCATCATTAAGTGCCAGAAGTAACAGCTCACAAATATGATGGGTGGCACTTAACCTTCGTGCATGTGTATACTTCGAATCGATGTTCAGATAAATATATGTTCACAATAAT